AGTTGCTTGAATCATTTTCTGCTTCAAACATCGTGTTGCCAATTCGGACGCTTCAATTCACCGTTGCGAAACCCGGCTGCTTCGCCACATCCGCCCTGCGGAGCCCAAGGGCTGCGGGCGGAGCCAGCAACCACCCTGCAACCATCGGACGCATGCCTGGATATGTGATACATATCCCAAACACTCCATGTATGGTATATATTTACCTACCTTGGGGTGGTTGAAGTCGGGGTCAATGGGGCAGCAGTCCTATTCCAGTCCCAGACAGGTCGTGTAATGGGTATATGTTGTGATGTGTTTCTTGGATCCTTCGAACCTTGACGTGAAGTCGATTGGGCCTCCGCTTAGCGCCGCACAGGCTTAGCTTCTGCAACTCTTGGAGCTACCAACTGCACCAACTCTTTGATCTTGCAACACTTACCACGTTTCATCAAAGACCTCTGATTGCACCGTGCTGGCTGTGACGCTGGTTGCAAGCTACCACTGCCAGGTAGCCGAAGAAAGCCCTCCTGTTCAGCTCCTCTGGGGTCCTTTAAGACATTTCTCCAAGGCGCCGGTCCAGCCATTGGTCCGCCTGGGAGACCTGCTCGAGTCGGGACCAGCCCTGCAGACCAGCCCTGCTAGCCCAAGATCTCTTGGACGGAGGGTCCATCGTTACACCACCAAACTTGGACATGTGTGCCATCTATTTACTCTCAATCCACTATGTACCAGCAGCTCCCAAAGGGGTGAGGCACGCGAACACATCGAACACATCGACGGAGTATTTCACCGGACAAATCCTTCCCGGAAGGATCACGATCCACTTCTGAGTCACTCCAGTACCCCAGCCGGCCGGGATCCCCATGAGAAGAACTGCTGAAAAAGAACCTATAGATGTTGGGTGTATCCTATTCCCTGTAACGGATGATGATTCAATGATGGTTAGTAAAGGCCTCTAGAATAGTGACCAGTTCGATGTTCCAAAATGTCATAGGACCCCAAGGTAGATGGTCCAAAGCGACTCTTCGCTCACGACTCTGCAAGAAGGCTGGCCCTCCAAACCATGAGGAAAGGTACTACATACGTATACCTGGGCACGACTCTACGGCCTTCTATGCTTATGCTCCTCCCTCCTACACCCTGAGCCCTCTGGGTTGCTACAAACCTGCCATGCGAATGAGATTCAGAACAATGTCTGTATACCTAATTGTTTTGTTTGTGCACTGCCTTATGGATGGAACGTGAACCATTGACCAGGAGCTTGATAGCATGGTCAAAGCATCTGATGCTCATGTTGTCTGGTATCCTTCAGGCTCCTTCTTTTCCCAACCCTTCAACCATTTTCCATCTTCAAGGGACCCAACCCACACACTGGTCTTGAGCATAAGACCCGCAAGCACACCTTGCCGCTTTCTTCGCCTCCCAACGTCCGGATAAACAAGCAAGTATAAGCAAGTGATGTCCGAACTCCGAACTCTTCGACTTGTATGGAGGACGGCTACCACAATTCTATGAAAACACGACAGCTCATAGGCCAAAACAGCCCACCCTCGCCTGCTGCTGTTCATCACACATGGCGATGATCTTGGCATAGGCATGGCCATTAGGTTGACCGCCCGCCGAGAGGAGCCACTCCTTGAAGCTTCAAGCACATGTTTCAATTGATCAAAGCTTAGCAGCTAAGGAACCACATTTTTTTAGGGCTCCAACCATATCCTCAGAAGGTGGTTAGACCCCCCTGGCACCCTCCCCAAGCACCTCAGGTGGTTGGAGCCCTTGGGTAGAAACAAATTAGATGCCCAAACCGTGGAAACCAGGCCAAAATATCCCAAACTCATCCAGCCTCTCTCAGGGCAGATTGCACGTTAGTTGCTGCAATCCCGGTTGCGCTCTGGTCAGACAAACGTGCCTTTTTTGCCCTCAGGATCCCTTCCACGGTCTCTGCGTGGTTCGATCACATAAAAAGACAACAAGACACATTGGCATAGGTCATGCCCAAAGGGGCCCAGTGGGCTGAGCACTGAGCACGGGGGTTGTGGTCTTCTCCTTCTCCCTCCATCCCCTCTAAAACCGAGGAAGCACCGCTTCTCTTCTGGAGCACCCGAGGAAAGTGCCCAAACCAGCAGAAGCTGGCGAAGCTTGCAGGCTGAAGAACAGTATTTAGACATAGTGACACTTCCCCAAGCGACCTGGCATGGAACTCCTTCCCCAAGCGACCTGGCATGGACTTCTAACTTCTTAGGGATGTCTTTTCACCCACCCCGAGTCTTCAAGCGGACCAACGATTCAGCGAACAGGTCCAAGGGGTCCACGTGGTCTGCGCGTAGTGGGACCGGCTGATCCGGTCCAAGGCTCGCCGTGGACCAAACATGGCTTTGCTGGCCGAGCGACGAACCAAGCTTCTGCCCGCGCCTGGGCAAACGAGACAAACAAGTGCTCGCCGCGACACGTCATCCTTGAGACGATGCCTTTTCGAAATTCCATTGACAAGTGTGTGCAATGGCTGTATAGCTCCATAGGTGCATTTTTGGGCGGGTGTCGGCGGGTGTTCCTGAAAAGCGTGGCTTTCTCAAAAGATCTCAAAAAGTTCAATGGCGCAACATCTTCAGGTCTTGACACAGCGCCATGGAAACCCAACATCATCAGGTCTCCGAAGAGAAAGCGGGGGGAACCAGTCATGACCTGCTGGCAAGTTTTCTTGGGAGAGGAATATATAGAAACTACCCGCAGCGACGAAGCGCGCTCCCGGGGAGAAAACGAAACGAACGAAGAAACGACGATTTCTGTTATCTCTTTTGCATGCCGCAATCCTGTTGCTTTTTGGAGGTTTCCAGGACGGAGGGTCCGGATCGCTTGAATTCCGCCCAAGGCTCCACATCTTTGCCTGCCTGCCAAGATACGGCGGACCGGACGAAGGCCGAACCAGCGTGAACAACGACGGCGGGGCGAGGCAGCCCTGGGCGTCCCCACCCTTTTTGGGGCTTGGCCGACCTCTTCGAAGATGCTTAGGGTGGGTGTTGGGGGGGCTCTATACAACCACCTGAGGGTATGCGACAGATATGCGGATGATGTTCTTTTCCAAGGCTTGTCACTATGTCTTAACCGAGGGTCTTGAGGCTTTGATCCGGCTAGCTCATCTTCAGCTAGTAAAGAGGTAGCAAAACACTGGGGGTGACGACATGGTTTTCGCTGGATGATAATTTGCCTATATGTCTCTCACAAGGATCGCATGCAAAGCCTCAACACGAATACACAATTCACCTACCACACCCTATGAAAACTGGACTGGGTTTGGATATGGAAGGGTTGTCCTGATGATGTTTTCTCCACATGTGCAGCCGGTCAAAAATCTGGCACAGTACTACGTAAAAATCTGTCACCAGAAAATACAACATGAGACTTACATGGCCTTTATCTAGGCCTCAAATCAGTTAACCTTTGGGCTTTGGGAAGGCCAACAAGTTTAACTAAAACTCCTATGCCTTTGCCCTAGAAGTCTGGTCGACTTTAATATGGCCTTTAGGTCACCACAAATCGTGGAACTGGACTTCTAGGGTTTGGTTCATCCACCTATACTATATCCAAACACGACTAATGGGACTGCCATATTTACCGATCAGTTGGGGTGGTGCCAGGGGGTGTCAATGAATAGGCATATGGACGTCCAGTCCCATGGAGCGTTTGGGCATACCCCGTGTCCAAACGAACATAGACCCTGTAAACCACTGGTGGTTTCTAAAGGAAAACAGTCTTTCCGTCCCATTCGACTTGGGTCCATGTGAGTTTTTGGGAGTGTAGGTCATCCCAAATGTCTACCAATTCCTGACTCAGCTTCATCGCCCTTCTGCTTCAGCTTCTGACGCCGGCGTCGGACCGGACTGTCCGGTGGCTTCGTTGCACGAGCAGTCCGGTGGCTGTTCACCGTTCCGTTTTCGGTCTTTTGGGGGGGGTGCTGTGACAGGTGCAAGTGGTACAGTTGGGCAGTATATATAATGACGTACTTACCAAACCTTCCAGTAAGTTCTCCAAAACAGCCAAGCAGCCAAGCTCACTGGTAAGCTCGAGCCGATGGCTAACTATCCAACAATTGACTGCCTATCCACTTGCACGTGTTCCCACAACCTTCCAACGTGCAGTCGTCCAGCTCATCGACACTGTCCGACGCCATCCCCTCACACCAAACGTTGATCAATAAAGGCCTCCCCCCCCAAAAAGTCTGTGGCTTGACCTTCCCATCTCCAGTTCTTGGAACATCTTCCTCCAGAATATCCAAAAGCCATGGGCCATCCCCCAAAAAAACAAGCCCCCAAAACCGCCGCTTTGGCGCCACCACCGGGAATTAGACCTCTTCAGTGCCACCGGAACGGCCGGCGCCACCGGTTTCGGTTGGTTTCGGTGCCGCGCCTCGCGCAGCAGCGTCGTGAAGGTCGCCCCGTCGGGCCGCAGCTGCGCCGCGCAAAGGCGCCGCACCCAGCGTTCGATGGCAGCGGGGGAACCGGTGGCCTCGGGGAGGAATGAACGAAAGGAACTGGCCTGGGTGTTGCGTGGTTTTTTATGAGTTGTCGCATTTAATTTTAGGCTCTCGAACATCTACACCTCCCAGCTGCATCCAGCGGCTTTCAAAGGTCAAAATGTTGCTTCTCTAACTTCTAGAAGTCATAGATCTTCCAGAATCCTTCCTGGTATCAAGCTGAGTCTTAGTTCCGCTCTTTTTCAGGTCAGTCGGTCAGTCTAATTATTCTTCTGAATGATTTAATGATGCATCAGCCCTGGCCAATCTCCAAACGGACCCCTCACAAACGGGCACCTCTCACCCACTATGGCCCACTCTCCGTGCTGTTCTTTTTCCGAGATCGGCGCAACCGAGATGAAACTCATGACGTCATTGATGCGTCATCGATGTGGAAAACCACCTTTTCTCGGCAGCCAGCAGCGGTGGCCGTGGTGATGTATATATATAGTTAAACCATATTAAACGGAATCCCTTCACATTCCACAATGCGTCCAAGAACTGGTTCCTAGTCCCATTTTTTATTTTGAGATGTTTGAAGTTTTCTTCTGAGCGGTCGCTTCCTCCGTCGCTCCAGCCAGGCCCTCCATCTCCAGCGGTGCTTGTGATGGTTTGCAGGGCGATTAGATAGCAAGCGGCCAGCAACTGGTGAAAGCACCTAAGTGTGAGAACGTATGAGAGTGTTATGTTGTTCAGTTGTTCATTGTTTTTTTCCAACCAAGGACTGTTTAAGCTCAACATTTTGAAAAACATGCTGAAGTGAGCAGATTAGGAACTGGATGCTGAAGCAAGAATTCTGCATCAGCCTTCTCAATGGCTCGTAATGCATGATGTAAGGAACGCCCAGCCTCAACTATGGTGTTTCGCATGCGTCTCAATCCGCTCCGAGATGAGGAGCTTGCGCAATCTGCGAATAAGTCGAGCAAAATCCGGTCTTGAAGACTTTCTGGTTCCTGTCCATCAATGTAGCCTGGGTCCCAGTCTCGTTTGGAAGCCCCTAGGAATTTGAAAGCGCGATAGATCAGCTGCTGCAGCTGAAGGAATAAAGCCAAGGCCGTCAAATCGTCATGTTCCTGTAGAATCCGGCGGGCCAGGTGGGTCAAGAGAAAGCCGGAGATGGTCGATGAAGGCTCTACCAAACTGCAGCAACAAGCTTTCATCATCCGAACCGCTTGCCGCGCCTCGGGGCGTTCTCGCAACACCTCCAAGGCAGCTTGCCTGGCTTCAGCACGCGAGCTGGTCTTTGTCAAGCAAGGGAAGTCATGATCACAAAAGCCCACATCCTTGCTCCTGTTCACCAGCACTACATCCACCCGAGCCACGAACTCTTTCCCATTCCAAAACTCGAGCTTGCTTGCTTTGCGGCCCATTGACCTCTTCTGAAGCCGAAGTTTCTTGTTGAATCCCTTTTGCTGTCGGAGCTTTTTGTCAAATGTGTTGCGTTCCTGGCAACTGATATTTCGAGACGTCGACACCCAAACGTCAATGTCAGAGACACAGCGAAGTGCAGTGCCATCGGCATGTGAGCCCGCGAGTCGAATGTCGGGGCCTGGCAGTGTCTGTAATGCCACTTTTCGGATAACCGCCAACATCTCCAGAAGCACCTCGGACATGCAATATCTAGATGCATTGTCATGCATTGTCTATATATTTTGGAGGGCAACTCACATCACCATGTCATTTGGAGGTTGGGAACATACACCACCCGTGGAATAAGCATCGAAGTGGAGTGACAACCATCTGTTTGGTCTTCGGAACATGGTCAATCCGAACTCGGGGCCAGGCCATCCACGGAACCCTGATGATTTTGGTCCCAAATCCCCAAGTCCCGGTGGGGCTTCAGGGGATGGCACCGGGTCATCCAGGCATTTCTGCAGGCAAAACGGGTTTGGAGTCCGAAAAGTGAGGCAGATGACTCCTATTTACTCTGAATTCTGAACTCAACCAGTTCCACAGAGGACTTCCAAAATCCCGACCCGACCCAACGGAACTGGCACCGTTTCCTGTTTGGAACTGCTGGTGTTCGAAAAAAAATATACTCTGACTCACGTTCCATGGAAGTGGATGGCATGGCCCCGTAAGGAAGACCATGAAATCCTCCACAAATAGGGGATGAACTCCACTTCCATGTTGGCTCCAGGGGGAGTAAGTATTTCGATCTTCACCACTGCAAGTCGCCGGATCTCGAGGAATCCTCAACTCTCGCGCTGCTTCTTCGAACATCGCCGTATTAGAGAAGACTGGGGAGCGCAGCGGCCAGCAGCCCACGGAACGCGAGGGACTCAACAACCCCCTCCATCCACCCAGGAATGCATACCCAAGAGTAAGGGACATCCATGGCCATCGAAAGATCCGAGGCACCATCCAAAACCCTACTCAGAGCCACATCATGAGCTACTGACAACAGTTGCGCACATGTCAAGCCATTGAAACATATTGGAACATCCCGTGGTCCTAAAGCAGTCCTAGTTTTGACTTATAATGGATTGAGTTCGCCCTCAGGATAGAATTCAGACCCATGCCCCAAAAGGATTCCGCAAGACCAAGTGCGAGGTCACAGCGAAGGAAGACCGCACAGCCCTTCTTCAAAAAGTGCATTTGTTCCCAAAGAACTACCCTCCAGTCAATGCTCCTTGGCCCAAATCCTCAGGTGTGGTGAGACCCCCCCAATGCACCCACCCTGTCCCAAACTTTGTCTTACAAATTCACATGCGTGACGTTCAGTCGAAAAAGAGGGTATCAAAGACAAGGATACTCTCGATCAAGCTGAACCAAAGCCATGTCATGCCTTTCATTGCATGGATTGTTCGCAGTGGTGCACATTCTTGGCCCATGCCGTGACAACTGCGGTCCTCTGGTGTCTTAAAACGGTCTTTTTCTGCACGGTTTATGAGGGTTTTGCAACAACCAGTCCAAGCGCGTAGTAAGAAGCAATCAATTCGTCAAACTCTTCCAGTTAAACACTTTTGGACACGGAACAGCGATGGTTGAAGTGACTTGTGCAGCTCGGGTGTATTTGTCAATGAGCTGACTTTGGCCCAAAGAAACCAGTGAACTCCCTTCCTGCCAATCTTTCTTGAACCAGTTCATCACTTGATGTACCCCGTCTCCTAGCCTCTGCATCCAGGCGGTCATAAATGGTCTCAACCACTTCTTCCCCACTTTCGGCAACGGCCAGGGGATCCTCCACGGCAATAACCTCACAGGCTGCAAGGAATTTCATTTTGGTTTTACTTCTTGCGATGCACTGCCTCACCACTGCAGCAAGCTTCTCCGCTTCTCTCTGCCATCTTTCTAGTTCGATCTCCTGTCTCTGCCTTTCTCTTTCTCGTTCTCTCTGCCGTTCTCTGCTCCTGCTCCGGCTGCTGCGACGGCGATCCGGATCCCAGGGATCCCAATCAGGGGGAGGGTCGTGGAACCTATCCCATGCTTCCATAAAGTTCGTAATGCCATGCTCACGTCCATACTCTGCCACATCAGCAGCAAAGCCCATCCGTCCCACAGTTGCACAGCCGGCTGAGCCAGGCTTTCTGACAAGGCCAGGTTAGGTGAAACTTTAGATCACTTGCCCCCGAGAAGTGTTGAGCCAAAAGCATTCGCACTGCACACAGCGTGCTGAAGGAACATGAAGGTTCGCCTACTGCCAGGTGGTTTCGCCAGGCTTCCACATCGGACCTCTGATCTCTATCAAACACTGTATCAGTACCTCCTCATTTAATAACACAAAATACATTTATGGGTCAATTCAGGAGCGCTGGCGTGGGAGATGTTTCTGATGTTTCAGAAACAGTAATTCTTCCAAATCGAGTGCGATTTTCACCAGACCGGTGTCTTATTAGAAGTGACGGAACGTCTGACGTCTGACGTCTGCATCGTGTGCCGATTTGGAGCGACATCGAACTCGCTTCGCCCGTTAAACGCGCTCGTGGGGTTTTGAGGATTTTGGGAGGCGCTCGTGGTGCGCGGACATGTCGAACATGGACTTAATGGATGTGACCAGTGAATAGCTTTCATGTTCGTTTGGGCACTTTCAATCTGTTTGATGAAACCCTGCTATACCTGGTAGCTACCGGTTTTGGGTGGTTTTTTCTTGTCGGGAGAGGGTTCCGACTCGGAAGGGCCGAACGGGCCGGATGTTGTGAAGACAAGATGAACAAAAGGGATAGGGATTTTTCTGGAATGAAGATGAAAGGGGTAGGGATAGGGATAGGGAAGGACTGGAATGGGAGCGAAGGGATAGGGATAGTGATGAAAGGACACTTAAACCACATTAGTATTGAGATGTATTAGTAAAGGATTCCTAGATCGGAATTGGATTTATCGAAAGTTCCCTGGGGTCATGCTTGCATTGAGAAAACATGAGTTCTTTGGGCCCAAAGATGTCACACGGATTGTCAGGTTGATAAAGAATCAAAGAACCAATCAATGAAACATCAATGCGACAGCAGGGTAGACAGCAAAAGTCTGTTTGCAAGTCAGAAACACACAATAGAACTGGACAATCGCCAACTGGAGACACCAGAACTAAAGAAATATGTTTTGTTTTTCTTAGATTGATTGGTTTGGGGGACATGTTGAGCTGCATATCCAAGGAGTTCTTTAGCCTTCGTACATGGAAGCCGCTGGCTGAAAGACTGCGAAGGCGCTGCAAAGTCTCCGCACTTCCACGCTGCGAAGCGGAATCCTGGTGCGAACCCACGCCCAAAGGACTTTTAGATGGGGGTCCAGTCCATTGCACCACTGCACCACCCAACTTGAGGTAACTTGTGCCATCTCTCAATCCACTGCGGGATCCGTTCTAAGCCAAGCCACCACTGCAACGCTCAAAGCTGAGTTGTAGCTGATGAGGTCTGGTGCTACCTCAGCAGCAGTCATGCCTCGGAGGTCGGATGCGGGCTGCTGAGCTGGTGAGTTACAACTGAAGGTTGAGGCCAAACAAAGAAAATCAGCCAGGGGTCATCCGGTGAGTGGATGTTCTGGGCACCCATTGGGCACCCCTAACCTCCATGGATAGCATTCCTTTGTGAGTCCTGGAGAACTCTTTCACTCATGTTAGTTCATTTCAACCGCTCGCCACGGTGTTTCTGACTTGAGTTCTTTAGGTCAACTTTCCAGGTTGGGGAACCTCAATAGGACTGAATGATGATCCTATGACCAGGGCTTAGTGGATGATGATGATGGGTTCAGTTGCATGCCTTGTTCCAAAATATAAGGATAATTTGTGATAATTATTGTTTACTGACTGTTTCAGGTTTTCTGGGACAGACTCAACCTCTATATGTATATATCTATATATATATTCATATATAGTACATAGCTGTCGCACACGGTCCTCAACCAACGCCGAGCGGCCCCGGAACAGCCTCTCTGCTGCGTCGGTCGACTTGCCGGAGCTTTTCGACCGGGCGTAGGCCTTCAGCACCTGGGCAACGCGCAGAGTTTTCAGAAGTTGAAGGTTTTCTGATTGGAGAGGATCCATCTATACAAGCATGAACACATCTAAAAATAAGAGAGAGGATGACCGAACAAGCAATGACCAAACCAATATCCAAAAACATCATCACTACTAAGCTACATAACGACGAGTTCTCTTTAGGTGTCAGGTCATCCGGATATAGGTCGACCCTTCGGAGGTTGGTCGACCCTTCGACCCACGTGTGTTGGAGTCGGTGGAGTTGGTGGACACCGCTCCGGACGGATGGATGTGATGATGAGAACCTCAGATCGACTAGAAGAAGACCAAGAACACCGGTCCGCCCAACAAAGCCCAACAAAGCCCAACAAAGCCCAAGTCCCAAAGTTCAGGTGGTTAAGAACTCATTGAAGTTTGAAGGCCAAAACGATCCAAAACGTCCAGCAGGTCGGAGTCAAAGCGGGGGTGCCGGTCAGACGGCAGGTCCCTTAGGTCGTGCCTGTGGGATTCGGCAGGTCCCGTACAAATTCGGCTCCCTTCCAATAACACACACACCTCCGTTCTGTCTATTCCGTTGGTTCTTTTTGGTTTGGTGTTCCTTTCAATCATGGTATGTCTCTTTCTTTTGGTGATGTGTGTTTCTTGGTCTTCTCTCTCTCTTCAACCCATCGCCCCATTTCGACCAGTCGCTTCGCTCCCGCCAGACCGGTGCCGAGCCACGGAATTGAAGCTGATGAGATTCGGGCGGAGCCTCGGAGCTGCCGACCCCCTTGCCTTCCCGCTCCAAGCGATGAACACCCATGTCCCAGGTCGGCGAAGCCTACAGTAAAGGGGTGGTGGATTGATTGAAAAAGGTGTTGATGTAGGTTAAAAATCCATATTCTATGTTGGGGCCAATGCACAGTGTACATCGCCAAAAGCCACTCCTTTCACCAGGGCTGTATCGGAGTGTCGGTGATCATCCCGGATCATGCTTGATCGATGCTGGTTGATCAGGATTCGTGCAGCTTCCAGCCAAGATAAATCCCTTCCCTAGGGCTCCAAGTACCTTCTGAGAAGGTGTTTGGGGTGGGTTTAGAGGGTCCAAATACCCTCTGAGGAGGCACTTGGAGCCCTAGGGCTTATATAGTTTGTACATAACCCCCCTCAAGACTCTTGCCTCAATTCCCCAGACAATGGTCTTTGGCTTTTGAGCCAAAAGTTCTGGGGGCAGGCTGTCGATGTCGGTCACACCAGCGGCTCCAAACCCTGGACATCCTCCACTCACAGCGAGACACAGATCTGGTGACTTGTGGTGGTCAGTTTCACATGTTTTCACATCTCCAGGGCGTCGCCCTCGGGTGAAATCGCTTGTAGCACGATAGGTTCTGAGTGGGCTTCAAGCTGCTTGAAACATCTCTATAGCATTGATATGTCCTCTCCCGAAAGGCGCACGACTGCGACTATGGAGGCCTCTTCGGAAACGCCAACGGCCTGGTTGGTGAGACCTGAACCGGCCATCACTCTTTAAACAACAAGGTAGGGAAATGAACCAGTTGGCTTTGTTCTGATCATGCTGTTCTGTTGTAATTATATTGGTCCACTAGGGGTCGTGTCTCATCTATTGATCAACCAACCAAGTGCAAAAGGCCATCCGCGGTTCTGATCCTTTCCCAATCCACCCATCGCCTCGCCCCTAGCCTCGCCAAACCTCGCCCCGACGGCCTCGCGCCTCCGCTCCAGCATCTCCTCCAACCAGCCTTCAGCAGCGGAGGCAGCTCCACGCGAAGCACAAGTGTTCAAGACCTGGGCAGCGAGTGGGTAACACGGACTGACCCTCTCTGCTTGTCTCTGACTCTCTCCTGCTGCTTCCCCTATTATCACCGAACTTCCCAGCTCCTGGAGTGGAGTGGAGGGGGTTTCCCTAAGTGTTGAGCGGCTTGCCTACTCCTGAAGATGCACAGGATCGATCCTGCAACTTGATAACAAAACATGCTGATGATGGTGGTTCTACACCTGTTACATCAATAGGATCCTCTTAACATCCACATGATGGCCACGAGTTACATCACTTCCACCTTTTCAGTCCCACACTCCCAACAAGAACACCTTCAGTATGGTTCGGCCGCAGTGCTTCGCAGTGCTGATGGCCCCCCGCAACCGATGGCCCGGCCCACCGCCCGTGCCGCACGCGGTGGAAGCGCGTCGCTCTTCGCCCCAAGCAGCTGAATTGTAGGTGACCAAGTTGGGCGAATGCTCCTGGAAGTTTTGGGGGTGGGCCGTTGCTCCAAGCCGCACTTCGATTTGACATCCCCTGTCTGGTCAAAAGCATGGAACATCAAGAACGTTGAAACCCGAACAGTCCATGGATGTTGGATGTTTTGGGATTTGACGTGATTTGACATCCCTGTCTTCTCGAAGTGGTTGGGTTGGCATCCTTGGGCATTTTCTTGTTGGGTGTAGGGTTGGAGACCACCTCGGTGAATCCTAGCACAGACGTGGTATCGTGGTTTGGGAGACCTCTCGTGGTTCAGGTAACCTGGTCGTGGTTAAGGTAACCAGGTCGTGGTTAAATGCCAGCTTCCCTCTTAATTTAGTTGTCCAAGTCCAAAGGGACTTACTGGGGTTCCAACCCAGATGCAAGCTGCGTCCAGCCCCCATGATGCAAGCAAGGGATCTTCTCCCCCCTCACGCAACGGGACCCATTGCAAAAAACCACGCGGCCGGTCTCACAACTCAAATTGGGTGATCGGCATATATTCCAGTCCCATGGAGTGTATGGGTAAGTTATGTAAAAACGTGTGGTGGCTGCGCAGTGTCAAAGGGATGGAGAACCCATCTATCTCTTCTCTCGGCTGCTGCCCGGCTCATCGGCTGCCGCCCCCTGTGCATCTAACAACCAAAAACAGCTGATAAAATCAACCACCCGATTCGGGTGGTTATTAGATGGAAAGTGGATAGTCAAGGGGGGTCTATAAACCACCCGAAATGGGTGGTGCTGGTAGAAAGCATCATTTTTTGGGTGTGTCATGCTTGGGAGACCCGGCTGCCAGTGTCTAATTCACACCGGAGTCCCCCGCACAAAAACACGGCATTGTAAA